TATGAGGTGTAATTCTTTTCCCTTTGCTGAGCCACTCCACAGATCTTAGTGTCCCCCACCTGCTGAATCTCACTTTAAAATCAAGAGTTAATGTTTAAATGTGGAGGCAACAGAAAACCGCTTCTTTTTTTCTTTTTTTTTATATTCCTTTCCACTGCATTGGGTCCTATATAACACATTCAAACTGGGCATATTCACTGGGATTATAATTTATGTTATTGTATTAATTTAGATTATTGTATTTATGTTATCATGTACTAATAGTATAATGATATTATATTAATATAGCAGGAGGTTCCGTTTCCTTGTTAGAATTGTCCTACAAAGAGCTACTTTCTTTCTTGGAGTACATTTCAGAGCCTTTACTTTTCCTCTTTTGAGTAAAACAGTTTCTTCAGTGCTTCAACTATTGGTGGAGCATTTTTTTTAACCCAGGTATCTTTACTACTTAGTTGTTCTACTTAAGTAAAGAAAGTCTGTACTTTTGCCACCTCTGTATATAAAGAGAGAGAGAGAGAGAGAGTGTCGAAGTTAAGAACTACGAAACTGTATTTCGTACAGTAAACTAATAGGATACTACGTAATTGCGCTAACTGATAGCCTGTAATCACATAGACCTTTAAAAATAATATTTAAGCTGGTCTATTATAAGGAAATAATAGAGGGGAAAAACCCTCACCATGTTCGTCCTCGCGTCTGGGTAACCGTGGCAACCTATACGCATGCGTACTTGCTATGTTTTTTATTTGCGACAGAACGAAACGACGTGCGACAACGTGCACTACGGAGTTGTCCCTTGCATTCATAGGTAAGGGCGCAAGGAAAAGACATTTTTCTCTTCATTGGCGTACATAATATAACACGTGTAAATGTCAATTTGTTGCGCTTGGCATAAATGCAGTGCTCTACATGGTAATTCGTAAGCTAGCTGCTAAGCTAAACTTAATTTTGTGTAATGGTTTCTGTGTGCTCTCTCTCCTGACCTTCCCTTTCTCCTCTTCTCGTTTCAAAAGTGTGAAAGGCCATGGCCAACCCTTTAAAAACTGAAGTTTTCAGGCTGTACAAAAATGTAAGTAAACTGGTGTTAAGAGAAACAACGCTGGGTGGTGTGCAATGCTGCAGAGCTTTAAAAATGTGTCTCTCCTCTCCAAACAAGCTCCTGTATCTCGGCCGTGAATACCCTCAGGGAGTAGCGTACTTCAAACAGCGCCTGAAGTCAGCATTCATGAAGCATAAAGACGTTACCGACCCGGAGAAGATCAAACAGCTGGTGGCCCGGGGGGATCATGTCATTAAGGAGCTAGAAGCTCTGTATTTCCTCCGAAAATATCGGGCCATGAAAAAAAGATACTATGAACCCGAAAAATAATGGCACACGCTGATAGCTCCAAGTGGTTTTCCTGGATTACAGTGTGGTAATCGGTTATTTCGGATTCACAAACACCTTTTAACACCTACCGGGTCCAAAACAAAGAACAGAATTTACAACAGCTCCTTTATTAAACTCAACTAAGGTTGCCTCTGAAAGGGAAATAAAATCCTCATCTCTGGGTGTTGCAAAGCGATCATCACTGTCATTGATATTTTGTACCTAAGGCCACTCTTTCAATTTCATATACTGTTTGTAAGCCCAGAATATGTTTTATGCATTCTTTGTCCCATTGTCACATTTTAGTGTATTTAAAACAAATGCTTCACCAGATGAGTTACCCAGTGTTTACACCAAGGTGTCCAAATTGTAACATTGATCATTTGTACAAGAGGTTGTGTACTTTTTCTTTCTTTTTTTTTTAAAGCAGCTGTCTTTCTGTCTACCGACTGAAGCTTCTTTAATGTAATATGTGAGTTTTAGAATGTATTTCAGTGTATATATTTGTAAATACATGCTCACGTTTTTTGAGAAATAAGTGTACATGGGAATGGATTCATGTGCTGTTACACAAAAGGCAAACATAAATGTTACAGATTTCTTAGAGTGGTGTCTCGTGTCATAATAAACCACAAACACAGCTTAGTGTTACTTATTCCTGCTATTACAATCAACCTAAACCCTGCAGATCTAGTGTCAGTCTGCATGGATTCTGAAGAAGGAAGTTTTCATGAGACTATGAAATCCTATGACGCAGTACTTGGCATGATTCAATAGGTTGTAGACCCACCTTTAGCACCAATAACTTGAAATAATGTCTTCTTGAGGACTTATTCAATCTCTCACATTCCTGTGGAGGAATCTTGGCTCCTTCTCTTTTCAGTATTGCTTCGGTTTATTGAGGTTTGCAGTTATTTGTTCATGCAGAGCTCTGCTAAGATCCTGC